AATATTCGAATCTTAAATTCATATTCGAATATCAACTCATCGAATGAATATTCGAATGTTCGAATATTCGTTGACATCCCTAATATATATATATATATATATATATATATATTATTCAATTTGACAAAAACCACATGTGGCGCAAGTCATACATACAGTAAACAAAAATATAGTCACACAGATTTTCTTTTATCCCATGTTTACCCCTTTATCCCGTGGATATGACTCATTGGATAAATTTTTCATAATCCACAGTTGTGACGTCACAATGGTTTTTGCGTTAGCGCGATGAAGTAAAATAAAGTGGAGTCCTATATAAAACAGTGTAAAACATTGGTTGTGAAGTATTAAACATGGGATAAAAAGAATCTCCCATGATTTGTAGTTGGATATGACTTTTATCCAACTCGTTGTGTGTTTTTATCCCCGAGCCTTGGCTAAAAAACACACAACTCGTTGGATAAAAATCATATCCAACTACAAATCATGGGAGATCCTATATATATTAAATGCATCACGTATGAAGTTACAAATATTTCTTGTTGATTTAACATCTGCTCAGTGGATTAAGAATTTCATAAGATATACATGTATTGTTAAAAAGTGTACAAAATTCACTTTTTAGTTGTTCATAAAGTGGACATACAAATAAAAAATGATGTTCATCTTCAACAACAGTTTGACAATTAATACAATATAGACAAAGTTAGAAAATTAATATGACTGTTAATGTCATAATATAAATCTTTAATAAAGGCACTTTATCTTGATTACATGCATGGTGTATCTTGATATTAACCTATCCAAGGTGACGTACATTGCTCAAGTTCTGTATGTAATCCAAGTTATAAATATTATCACCCAATTCAGATTAATATTCAAGTTTTCTTTCCAGGTCACAATTAATAATCACTTCCCCAAAATGCTTTACAATCGGTCATGCAAAGTAGAACACTTTCAATTACAACCTGTGTAAACATATGTAGCTATACGGAAGCCGGTTGGTGCCAGGTAGAAAAAATATTTTATCTTGCGGCCTCCAGGTAAGTTTCTGGCGGCCGACAAATAAATAACTGGCGGCCGCCAGTAACTTATCTGGCGGCCGCCAAATAATTTTCTGGCGGCCGCCACATAAATAACTGGCGGCCGCCAGAAAATTATTTGGCGGCCGCCAGATAATTGTCTGGCGGCCGCCATTAAAATATTTTTCTACCTGGCACCTACCGGCTTCCGTATAGATCCACATACAATTTGCATTTAATAAAAAAAGAACGTACATGAATATTGGACCATTGTACATGTGGACATTTTTCTTAATAGGCTTTTAAGTACAATTGACTTAAAATATTTAAAACAGGACCATTCATTGAAAAAAAAAAAAAATTAAATAAGCAAAAATAATTCATTAGAGAACAATTTAATGTATACTAGTAATAAAATTTGCTTTAAGAAGATTATAATTTTGGCCACTTTTTCCCTACAGAATTTAGTTTTGATCCTGACGGTTACATATACGTATACTTGTATCTTTGAAATGGGGGGGGGGGGGTATAGAAGCGATTTACCAAAAAAAAAAAATCAAGACGCTTATATATAGCTTCTCATTAAAACAATCACACATTTTAACCCCTTATTTTTGCGTCAAATATGTAAACAAATTGACTATTTTAATTGAGTGGACCATGAGGTCCACGCAGAAAATATATAAGCGGAGTTAAACCGGGTGCCATGGGCTTACGTCAGGCTACGCATGCTCGGGAATGCTAGAGATTTCACCTCTAAGATAACTTGCCTTAGAACAATTCGCCCTTTTCGAATTAGAATATGCCAATCATTGGCAAACCTTGCTTAAAATCTGCACATCGTATTCATATATTCATTGGCGTATCTAAGGTCCGATTTTCTCTTTTATACATATATCCTTAAATACAAACTAAACCCTATGATACAAGCCAGAGACATAAATTTTTGTCTCTATACAAACACTTCAAAAAGTAGAAAGAACTTACATAGATAGCTTAACAACTCGAATTAAAAACTTAATTCAACGACTAGGTTTAAGAAGATAGAACAAGTCTTCACCGGCATTAGTTTTGTGCATCAAGGCTCGCAAAATAATTTGATATACAGCAATCCAAATATAGCTTGATACAGGCCTGTAGCAACGTTTTGTCCATGTGGGGGAGGGGGAGAAACCTCCGGAAAAAATTCTGTATACTACAGATCTGTGCTACACGTGTACCAATGATCTTCCGTATAAATTCATTACAGATGTCAAGTCCCAGCCGTTATGGGTTACATGTATCGAAATAACCCGATTTTTTAATGACAAAACTATAGGCTAATCGGGGGTAATTTTAACAATTTTACTATGAAAGTACTATCACTCAAAGTAGGCGGATCATTGTAGAAAATGTTAACAAAATAAAAATACAGCAATTTAGCTAAATAAATAGACTTAAATGACTTAAATGACAATGAAAATTTTTACATTTCAAGATAAAAAAAAAATCTAATTACACCTGCATGTATATTCAATAAATCTAGAAATTTTCTTTGTATTTCGGTTAGAAACACATGCACATGGTCCAAGTATTGCAATCCTGTTTTAAAGGACAGCAACTTGTTTCAGCTATAAGACTCGTTTGAGAATGTTCACGAGAAGAGGTGACAATGTTTGTCTAACCCCATGCAGACAGCTCAGAATCATTACGTTACTACATGTACCTACTCGGTCTTTTCCCTTTCTCGACTTAAGGACCATCGTCGGATACCTACGGGTGATTTTATCTTTTACTTATAAATAAATGACGAGATCACCCGTGAGTAATACATCCGACGATGCTTAACAGAGTGCTTAAGGACAAATAATGCAATAATATATAATTTCTCCCCATAATTTTGTCAATGAAGTATTGCTACTTTAACATGTTTATTCGCAAAAAAAAAATGAGGGAATGATTTAAAAAAAAAAAAACAACAAGAGGCCCACAAGCAACAACGCTCTCTTGCGTAACTTTGGCCCGGGGGTAGAACAAATTAGAATCAACACTACCCCAAGATGCTTCCACATAAGTTTCAGCTTTTCTGTCCCAGTGGTTAATGAGAAGATTTTCCTAATATATATTTCAATGTAAAACTTGGATTCCCTATTGTGGCCCCAGCCTACCCCCTAAGGTCATGATTTGAACCACGTAGAATCTACACTACTTCAGGATGCTTCCATATAAGTTTCAGCTTTTCTGGTCAAGTAGTTCTTGAGAAGATTTTTCCTAATATAATTATATTTCAATGTAAAACTTCCGTCCTACCTCCGGGGGTCATGATTTGAACAATTTAGAATCTACACTACCCCAGGATGCTTCTACGTAAGTTTCAGCTTTTCTGGCCCAGTGGTTCTTGAGAAAAAGATTTTAAAAGATATTTTCTACATATTTCAATGCAAAACTTGGATTCACTATTGTGGCTCCATCCTTCCCTCGGGGGTCATTATTTGAACAATTTAGAAACTACACTTCCCCAGGACCGGATGCTTGCACATATGTTTTACTTTTTCTCGCCAAGTGGTTCTTGAGAAGATTTTTTAATGACTCCGCCTTATTTTTTGTCTTTTCTTGATTATCTCCCCCTGGAAGTGGGCTTGACCCTTTATTTTAACAATTTTAACTCCTGCCTTCACCCAAGGATATTTGTACCAATTTTGGTTAAAATTGGTCCAGTGGTTCCTGAGAAGTTGAAAAAGTGATGTTTACAGAAGGACGGACAGACAATAGGTGATCAGAAAAGCTCACTTGAGCTTTCAGCTCAGGTGAGCTTAAAATAAGTAACCAAAGTATGGAGGTTGTATGTGTGTGTGTGTGTGGGGGGGGGGGGGGGTACCACGCATTTGTGCAAGATACCAGAGGATGGTGTTTCCTTCGAAACAATTTACTAGAAACAAGTATTTTTGAATATTTTTTATACATTACAAAGAGATACAAAACAGATATTTAAGAAACAAATCATCTGACCTTACGGAAAAAAAGGTAAAGCGACATTCAGATTGATTATCGACAAGTCACCTGATACACCAAGAATGACAACTCGGTCAATCTACTGCATAGTATAGTGGAGTCACCTCAGACATGCCTGCATGGAGGGACTGTTCAAAACCTTGACAATTAAAGATATTATATCAGTGCTCGAGATATCGAGGTTCAAACTTAGATTCATATATATGATCAAATGTAATTAAACAATATGCATTTTCCTTTCAAAAATCTTACTCTTGCAAATCTAGCAAGGAACCCATCTCCGCTAGCCAAGTGTCCGGTTCTTATACCCTCATCTCCCGAGGGAATACGAATCGGCCACTTGTCTGGCAAAGATGCTCCGAGAAAACTTTATTGTTTTTTTCATGTCCATGGGTCTTTGGTCCATACAGAAGGGTGGTGCAAAATTGATCAAATAAAACGTTATGCAAGTAGTATCTTGAAAAAAAAAAAGCCTTTCATTGAAAGACGTCCATTTTGAAATTTCCATTTATATTTCAATCTTCACAATTTATATTCAAAGCTTCACATTTCACTGGAATACATTGTATGACCATGAATCATTTCATTTTGGGCATTATGCAACCTTTTCACTGAATATTTTCAATTCATTCAACTTAGCTTTACCATGTAGCCTGTCCACTTGGGTCCTTGTGGCAAAATAAATCATAAGTTTGATACATAACACATTGCATACTGTAGATAGCCAATATTTTCCTGCAAATCGCCAAGGAGTTGAACAGATTTTTCAACATATCCTGTAATGCATTTTCAATACCTTCAATTTACCTCTAATCTGGGCCAGACCTGAGGGTACACGGAGAATTAAATAATTTTGTAGAGGGGTCTTTTTTAATTATCACTTGTCTGCTATAATGTGAAAATGTAAAATAAACTTTCAAAGATTTGTGACATTAACATATCCAACTTCACTTACAAATACTAGTGTTTCTCAAATACAATAAAACATTATATAAATATTGTTTTTATTTTCACAGATGTTAAATTTTGTTAAAAGCAGCAATGTCCATAGACTGTACAAAATCTTCAAAACCTGTAATTTCTTCCTCTAGGAAGTCTGTGCTGATCTGAAAAGACAGGAATGAATATTATGTAAAAAGATGCTAATTCACCAGATTAAGTCAATGGTTAAGTAAGTCAAATCGAGTCAAAAATTGCCAAAAGGCCTGCAGAATAAGAAATGAACTCAATGAGAACATGCTTCATGCAATAATAAAGCATGCACATCAGTTTCTTTTGCCTACATGTACATGCTAAGTATACATCTGCTGACAGCTTGGTTTTGCTTACAATTTAGTTATGTTAACCATAGTAGTCTGTTACTAGTCTTTAATGATAAATGTATGTGCTTTTGTCGGTGTACCTTTACCATTTTTCAAAGTACATGTTACTTGCAACATTTCTAAATGCAAGATGAAGCTGCTAAAATTTTGCTATGAATGTAATTTTCCTTCACTCTAATGCATACAGGGGATAATCCCTCGATCATCAGAAATCCCCCACTCTAAAAATGTGGAGGTGGCCAAAGAGAAGAGAGGGGGTACTCTCCTACCTTTCTTGCACCCCTGATCTCTTTCCCATCTCTCATCTCCCTCTCTTTCTCTCCCCATTTTCCTTCTTTTTTCCTCCCTTTGAAAGCTTCATTTCTCTTATCTACCCACTCTTTCCCCTATCAACCCCTTTCTTTCATTTCCATCACTCTTTTTGTCATAATATTGTCGAAGCCAACACTGGGCCTATCTGTTCCTATTACATTATACTAATCTTAAAATTTGAAACAAGAGATTTTTGTGAAACACTTATGCCCCCCCCCCCCCCCCCCTCAAATAATTGGAATTTTTCTAAGTCCAAGGGGCATAACTCTGTCAGATATTGCTTGATCATACCCAAAACAGAACTTGACCTAGATATTCATATGATAAATCTGTATACCAAATTTCAATTCAATATGCATAACCTCCATGGCGAAAATAAACGTAAACTGCAAATAATTGGAATTTTTCTAAGTCCAAGGGGCATAACTCTGTCAGAAATTGCTTGATCATACCCAAAACAGAACTTGACCTAGATATTCATATGATAAATCTGCATACCAAATTTCAATTCAGTATGTGCAACCTCTGCGAAGAAAATGAACGGAAAATGTTGGTGGACCGACAGACAGACAGACCGACGGACAGACAGCAGCAAAGCAATATGCCCTTCCTTCTTTGAATGGGGTCATAATAACCATCTTCACCTCTTGCAGCTAGAGATGATAATATTAAAAACAGGGGAGTGGGGTGTCAGTTTAAAAGTGAATATCAAAAACCATAATACTGACCTTATCATCCTCAATAACTGCATTGATCTGAAGTTTTTTGATTCCATAACCAACAGGTACAAGTTTAGCTACAAAAGAGACAGATGTATGGATAAAAATCTATTTATATATATACAACAGGCAACTCAAATTTAATGAGAGGATTAAGGTTGCATTTGAAAAAAATAGATTCTTTCTTTTACAAATAACATTGTAAAAGTTATATTTTTTTTTCAAATCAGCAATATTACTATCATTATGTAAAACATGATCATAGCAAATCACCAGGAATAATTATATTTGTGTCATTATATCTGTAAAGTTATATCCAGTTAATTTTTCATTATTTAATACAGTATTTGGTCGGAATATAATATTACATTGAAAGCATGAATTCAAATATTTATTTGGTAACCTTGCCGGAAAAGTTTGACTGTATTAAAAAAAACCATTTTGAAAGTGCTTTTAGGTTTCAATGAATTGCATTTGTCAAAGTGCTTTGGGGGGTGGGGGTAGGGGGTTCCTACATGATGCTTCCAGCAGGGCCCCAATACTTTGTAGAGAGTCCAGAATAATGCTTCAAGCAGGGCCCTAATGCTTGGTAGAGAATCCTGCATAATGCTTCCAGCAGGGCCCCAATGCTTTGTAAAGAGACCAGAATAATGCTTTCAGCAGGGCCCCAATGCTTTGTAGAGAGTCCAGAATAATGCTTCAAGCAGGGCCCTAATGCTTGGTAGAGAATCCTGCATAATGCTTCCAGCAGGGCCCCAATGCTTTGTAAAGAGTCCAGAATAATGCTTTCAGCAAGGCCTCAATGCTTTGTAGAGAGTCCAGAATAATGCTTCCAGCAGGGCCTTAATGCTTGGTAGAGAATCCTGCATAATGTTTCCAGCAGGGCCCCAATGCTTTGTAAAGAGTCCAGAATAATGCTTTCAGCAGGGCCCCAATGCTTTGTACAGAGTCCAGAATAATGCTTCCAGCAGGGCCCTAATGCTTGGTAGAGAGTCCTGCATAATGCTTCCAGCAGGGCCCTAATGCTTGGTAGAGAGTCCTACATAATGCTTCTAGCAGGGCCCCAATGCTTGCTAGAGAATCCTGCATAATGCTTCCAGCAGGGCCCCAGTGCTTGGTAGAGAGTGCAGAATAATGCTTCCATCAGGGCCCCAATGCTTGGTAAAGAGTCCAGAATAATGCTTCCAGCAGGGCACTAATGCTTTGTAGAGAACCCTGCATAATGCTTCCAGCAGGGCCCCAGTGCTTGGTAGAGAGTGCAGAATAATGCTTCCAGCAGGGCCCCAGTGCTTGGTAGAGAGTGCAGAATAATGCTTCCTGCTGGGGCTCTAATGCTTGGTAGAGAACCCTGCGTAATGCTTTCAGCAATTCATTGATGCTTTATACTCGTACTTACATGCTCCCCACAAAAGTCCATCTGCCTGAATGCTGCGTACTGCCTCTTCTAATGCTTTCATGTCTGTTTCGTCATCCCAGGGTTTGACATCTATTAGGAGGCTGCTTTTTGCAATTACAGCTGGTTCTGAAATAAAACACAGCATTTTCTATAGAGCAGGGTAACTTTTATGTTAGGCCTAAGAGAAAAAGATGACTAGTTACCTGTTCAATCCTAAATTTATGTGAAAACCCTTAAGTTTTCTTCCTGTAAAATGCAGAGATTTCAAGTCTGTACATTTTCCTTTGAAAATTACTTTTTACAGTCACAAGGTCACTTTTAATTAAAATGATTTTTTTTCCCAATATGTCAGTTCAACACAAACTTGCATTGCAGAGCAGAAGAAAACCGTTTTTAAACCACTTTGTAAGAGTTGTTCGGTATATAGTAAAAGGAAGATTTTGTGTCAAGACAAAGTGAGCTTCCTTTGAATTTGTTTTGCAATTTTATGCCTTTATGTAAAAAAATTCAAATTAAAAATAAATTCCTACCCACCCTATTCTAAATTTGCTACACTAGCCCAACATGAAAACAAAATTTGTTTTTATTTAGAATTTAGTGTTCCTTTGAACACCTTTGCAAAGCACCTGGTCAACATCAAATTTAACCTTCTCAAGCTATCGGACCACTTTTTTATTTTGCCCTTCGCTGTAGCCCTTGCACTGTACAACATTCAAACTTACTCTTGGCTTTTTTGGCTGCATATTCTGCAAGGCGTTTCTCTCTCTCTGCCTTGGCATCTTCGTCATCAGAGCCGAAGAGATCAATGTCATCATCATCGTCATCATCACCGCCTGCCGCGGGGGCGGCTTTTCCTGCTGACCCATACGAGGAGACATCTTTCTTCTGACCAGGGAACCTGTACACATAATTATGTAAAAATTAGGTTAAAACAAGTCTCTAACGGGCTAAAACTGGTGGAATCCAGTCAAAGACTCAAACCAAAGATGATACATTTTTTTAAATATACAACTTATTTTTATCAAAATTCTGGGCTGGAGGTTATAAAACTTTTTGAGTACGTACTCTGTGCTCAAACTCATACTGTGTTCTCTAAAACCTTACTCATACTCAAAATTTATATACAAATTAGAGAGGAATTTTGAGCATGAGTATGGTTTTGGAGTACGGAGTTTGAGCACAAAGTACATAGTTACTCAGAAAGTTTTATAACCTCCTGGCCTGATCTTTTTATTTAAATTATCATATACATGTATTTGACTTATTCTCAAAACCCCCTGAGGCACTTTCAACCATTTTTAACTTACCACTGTGCAGCCCTCAGTATCACTGTTTTAAATGTGTTTAAATGAAGGTATAAATTCCCTTAAAAGGTAAATAATTAATAAATGGTAATCAAAAAAGTTTGGTCATAAATAATCTTCTCAAGGGTGATTATTGTTTGAAGACTAATGTATATTCAAATTTGTTCATATTACAGTGTACCCTTGTTTTATCTGTGAATATAAATGATAAAACATTTTGAATTTCTTCAAAACTTTTCCCACATGTATCATAATTTCCCTTCAAGTATGGTAGTTACCTATAATGACCACTCTTTATTCAAACCTACAACAAAATTCTTCTTTATCATGTTTATAAATCCCTGTCATTTTGCATAAGCAACAATTTTCTATAGGTAGTTTTTCCATCTGGAATCTTGAACAAGTTGAATAAGCGAATGACCAATGTGACTGCTTGAATACCCCATATGGTTCCATAGAGCTGTCAAGGACAGTAATTTTCATGTCAACTTTCCCTTTAATATACTTTTTAAGTATGAACACCTTAATGAATTTTTATACTATTCAGGGTTGCAAATAACTTTTGAAACCTTAGGGACCATGTGGGCCCCCAACTTTACAAGTTTTTTGGCCTTTCACATTGACATTTTGGGGCCCACAGTCCTCCAATTACTTAATATTTTTTTTTTGTGATCTTTTTGCATCAAAATCTCTGAGAAGTACATGAACTTTGCTGTCCACAGCATTTCGTTTATTTGTGGATTTCGACACCACCTGTATGATATTCCACATTAATGCATTTTCCTTCACTTTAAGACCTCTCATAATAATAATATTGGTGCGATTCAGGGTCTAGAAAACATTTTGTAGGTATGGAATAGCAAAAACAAAAGTCCCTTTAAAAGAAGAAGCAAACCACAGTCAGGTTCCGGAAAAGTTCTGATAAAATTCGAACTCGCCATACTCAATCAAGAATTAGTCATCCAAAAACAAAATCAGTCACATTTGCAAGTAGGCGAGTGGTTATTTGCAACCCTGCAATATTTCAAAGCTTCAGTATAATAAACTTTTAAATTAAAAAAAAAAACTTACGATGATCTTCCTGCACCATAAGATTTAATGTGGTTATACCAGCGGAGGGCGTTTTCTAGATCAGCCGGCGGAGGACCAATGAGGGCGTCAAACACAACAGCATCGGCTTGTGAAGGTTGATATCTACAAAATATTATATACTACAACATTCCACGAAAAGTTTCATTAAAGGAATAAGAACAATTTTGCACAACTTTCACTAAACATTTCTTGTGATAATTATGCTTACAATGAGGTTTTTATTTCCTCTTAACAAAGACAATCTTATAAATACTAATATGTTGTTTAGGGATGGGTATCCCCAAAAATTTTCGTATAGCGATATATCTTGATTTTCCCCAAAAAGACCATGATAATGATAATCATGATAATATCATGATATTTTTACTATAATTTTAAACAAATATCAATTATTTTTCATTCAAATATGCTTGAAAAAAGTAACTTCACTTTTAATTTTCATATTTATTTACATAATATAAAGCATGTTTGGGTGCTAAGATGCCGTTTTTAACCATTTTCAACATTTTTTACACTTCCTGCAATTGTATTCTAAAAGTTTGAACAAAGAAATTAATAATTTCTGGAATTTAATATAATTATGTGCCTAAATACCGCTATTTTAATCTCCATATCATGTTAATTATGATCATGCAATTAAAAATCAAGATATAGCGATATACCTATAAAATCGCGCATCCCTATATTGTTTATCATGTTTATGGAAATGAGATGTCAAATGAAGACCTGCTCTCAAATGGAAAACAACTTATGTCTCATGCAGTGACTTGGAAGGCCAAGAAGGTCAATGGGACTATGGCGCAACTGTCAAAAGTTTTAATGGGCTATTTTGAAAATGAATGGGCCATCAATATATTCTGAAGGGCCATTTTAAGAAATAACAAAATGACAAACAAATACGAAATACAAAAGAAAACCCGTTTTTTATTCACAAATTATAATTTTTCTTGTATGCAATGCAGCAAATTTAACGGAACCTGCATAGAATATAATTTATCTGTATTTTGGGTTTAGTAAGGCCAAACAAAAAAATATGTGTGGTTCCGGTTACACTTCCAAAAAAATTAGGGTAGGTACAGTCCCTGAAACGTTCTACTTTCCCACCTGAACGGTGAGCGAACGCTGAACGAACGGTGAACGAACGCTGAGCGAACGCAGAGCGAACGGTGAGTGAACGATATGTGAACGCTGAACGCAACTTGGTGAACGATGTGTGAACAGTGAACGGTGAGCGAACGCAGAACGCGAACGGAGCGCAAACGCGAACGCAAAGTGAACGGTGAACGAACGGTGAACGCAAGATGAACGATATATTCGGAATGCCTCTGATCTTTTCCTTGCATTGAAACTATTTTATTGTTTTATAATGTCAGGTGCCAAAAAAAAAAATCAATCAATCAATAATAAATAAGTAAACCAATAAATGAATGAATAAATAAGTCAATAAAATAAATTCTCCAAAATTGTCCTGAGAAAGACGATGCATGCACATTAAGTTTTTAATCACACGATTTTTATCGCATTAAAACATTGCAATTGTTGCCGAACGCTGAAGTATAAGAGATATTTTTTTTTAGTTCGAAAATAAAAATGTTTATTCTTATTTGATAACAAATCAGAGAAAACTTCTGACTTATAGAATGAATTAAAGTGGTTCTAACATCCATTCATATATCTCCGTGTTAAAGCGATTTCGTGTAAAGTAATGAAAAAAAAATTAATAACAAAGGTCAGTGGACGTTTTGCATCTATACGCTCGTATTTTAAATTTTTAATACAATAATATATTATGTGTCATTTCTATTTTTCAAAATGATTTATTCAGGCCCGTAGGAAGCAAATTTGTTTTTTTTTTTTTTGGGGGGGGGGGGGGGGGGAGGCACAGCCATACATTTTCAGTTGATAGTTGAGGGGGCACTACCAAAAATTTCCTGACAAGCAAAAAAAAAAAAAAAAAGGTCATCAGACTTTTTATTGTGGGGGGCACAAGCATATAGTCTATGTTTACTATAATAATCTATATATCGGCAAATTATTGGGGAGGGGGGCACGGCCCCCCTTGCCCCCCCCCCCCCCCCGGTTCCTACGGCCATGTTTATTGAGCAGACTTCTACATTTATCTGTAGATGGCCGTGATTATACTCGGACAAGATAATACAAAGATACATATTCATATCATTTGTTATAAATTCAATTTTCAGAACTTGATATTCAAGTAATATGCTGTTATTGTTTTTATTAAACAGACAAATGAGAGAGAGAGAGAGAGATTCCGTTTTAGCCCCCCCCCCCCCCATTTCAGGCTTCACTAAATGTTTGTACCTATATCAAACAAAAACTCTGAAATTTTTTTCTAAATATATCAGACAGTGAAAGTAACTTTTTTTTTATCAACAAATCATATCCATTTGTTTGACAGTCATACTCGTTTTTATTTTCCTGCTTCAGGATCACACGAAGTCCACGTGCTTGTCCTGTCAATCAAAATCATTCGACACTGTGCAGGTGTGAAAGTTTCGTCACATCGAAGACGAAGTGCGAGTATTTCCTACAAGTTATAACATTTATTTTTATCATTTCTAGATTTGATTCCAACATTTGAATAATAATTGAATAAAATACATTGGGCATTAACACTTTAAATTTGAAACATACTCTCTGCCAATTCCAAATACCACCGCCGACACGTGTACATTTTGAAGTACTATTGTTTTGTGACTTTTTTTATGCATGTTTGTTTTGAAACTGAATTTTTGTTCTAAAAAAGACCTTAACTTTTTTTTAAAAATGTTAATTAAAATATTCTGAAAATACAATACCACAGGGGCTTGCTCCCGGCGTGTAATAATTATTTATTAAAAAATATCATATACGGTAATACTAAAACATCACGTTTTCGTATTACCGTATATGATTTTTTTTTTAAATAAATAATTATTACACGCCGGGAGCAAGCCCCTGTGCAATACTGAATAAGTAACCGATTTAGGGGGAAAAGGGGGGGAGGGGTATTAATCATATCGAATGGCAAACATATAAAGTTACGGTGAAGAAAGATTTTTTTCTCTATAACTATAGACTTTACATATTATAGTAGAGAAAATTCTGTAGTGCATTACATTTAAAATAAATATTTCCTTTAACCACACTATCAATTTAATTCGCTCCAAAGATAAAAAAATTAACACGATATCCGCAGTACTATGTATAACTCTCAGAACTAGTTCTATCATATTTTCTGTAGTAATTGAAAAAAAAAAGTGTTAGAAATAAATATTTTCGTAATTTTGCTGCGTAATTATTTGACTTGAATAATTATATCTCCATTAACGATTTGTCGTCTTTAACAAAACAACAAAATGTTGCAGTGTTTGAAGTATTCGCACATTGCCCTTAGTTTAATTTAATATTTCAGCATCGCTCTATATAGGTACAGAATGTGCTTATAACAACATTTATTTTCCAGAGTAATTTAATAAATAGCCTAACAGCTAAGTTAGAATAATAAAAATATATATCGTTGATATTTTTCCCCATGAAATAATGATTCTTCAAACACGATATGTTAGTTATTAAATTAAAAAACCTGTAACTCCTAACCTACAAAAAGATAAGTCCTTTCACATCGGAGTTCCGAATGACAATGAAAACTGAACGATAGGTGAACGCTGAACGCAAGGTGAACGCAAAGTGAACGGAACGAAGAGCGAACGCTGAACGCTTTGTGAACGGTGAACGCGAGCGCACGGTGAACGGTGAACGCAAAACTGTGAACGGAGAGCGAACGGTGAACGCACGGTGAACGAACGGTGAACGCACGCTGAACGAACGGTGGGCGAACGGAAAAATGGGAAAGTAGAACGTTTCAGGGACTGTAGGTAGGGATTTTTTTTTTTTTTTTTTTTTTTTTTTTTTTTTTTTTTTTTTTTTTTTTTTTTTTTTTTTTTTTTTTTTTTTTAACAAAATGATTTTCTTAATTTTTTCTAAATAATACCTATCACTGCTTTGAAAATGGCATTTAGATGTGGTGTGATAATATAATAGTCAATATTGGTAGGGGACACCTACATGTTAGCTTGCTTTGGATTTAACACTATTAAACAGTTGCACTATGTTTTGCATGGAGGCCGTCATTGCTGAAACTAAAGCTTAAACTGGAGCCATTGATGGAAATCGGGGAAAATTCTGGAAAAAATATGAAAATTGCCAAAAAAAAGTTTAGGGTAGGGGGTATAAAATAGGGAAGGTCGGGTAACCGGAACCACACATATTTTTTTATTTGGCCTAACATCAAAATTAGGATTGAACATTAGAAATGAGTGAGGTACTGTACCTTTACTGTCCTATTAAGTGCTTCACAGGGTTCGACATAAACGTTAGTCCATTAGTCTCAGACTAATACATTTTCATTCGGACTAATAAAATCTGTGGCTAATTAATCTGAATGGATTAATAAAATTTTCTGGAAAAAATCAATAAATTACCGCTGTTCGATACTCGACATCTTTCACTGGAAAACCCCGCATTATTTTTTATCTTTTTAGCGGGAAGTTAGGTAATTCCGCGTGAATTCTGCACTTAACTTTAGGACTTATTGGTATGAAATTAAACATTTTAGTGATCATGATTTAGTATGACACATAAAGAAAGATGTCGGACGTTTGTAATGTATAGAGAAAAACAAAAGAGATCGGGAATATGATCATAGTTACTGATCACGAGATATCAATGAATCTTGAGAAATAAAACATTTCATGTAAATACTTTATTTCTTTCAAAAAAGTACATTGCAATGTTTATTTTTAAATTAACCGTTACAAAATATTGATAGTTTTTTTTTTAACGAACTCATAAAATGGCACGCGGACTAGTAAAAGTAAACTAGTTCGGCCGGACTAAAGCCTAACAATGTTAGCGTCGAACCTTGCTTCCTATAACCAGAAGCAGTTTTTGATGGGTTTTAACCAATAAGATTTGTTCTTAATTTGGCCACAAGGGATTGTTTAATGACTAATTTTTGCTAGTGCACAAGTCCCTAGGGGTGAAACGATACGCCTCCTTCACGGTACGATACGTACCATATAATTTTGTCTCGGTATGATTATTTTCGATACGATACATTTTGATAAAAAAAAACAAATTCAAGGTAGTTTTATGTTTCTTTTACTGATTAAAATCTAGTTACTTTATTTACCTGCAATTTGACTAAAAGAAATTGATTAGAATGATATGACGGTTAAAAATTATTTTACAAACTATCAGTCCTTACAAATTTACGTTTTTAATACTTAATTATGCTAAGTAATGTGTTTTTACCTATGCTAAAATTGACTGAACAATGATTCTGACCAAAAAATGAACCGAACCGAAAGTGGAGATTTTGGACCGTATATCAAACCGAGAAAAAATACTGCGATGAATCAATACCACGGTGAACCGTTTCACTCCTATAAGTCCCCCGGGTAACAACATGACTGATTTTCTAGACACTCTGTCTGATACTCTACTGAGCATGAATCTTCAGCATCTCTTGTTTGGCTCGAGGTAATGACTTTCTTGCTTAGTTTGACAGATGTCACAAAACTAAGTAAAGTTACTAACCTCAAAATATTAACACTGAAAATAAATCTCATTGTCAAGTTATTGAGAAGATACTAAGATTTGCTTGCCATTACTACATTTTGTGGACAATTTATAGGAAAGAGTTTCATTCAGATACACATTCTATTTCTATGGAACTTTAACAGCCCTCCCCCCCCCCCCCCTTTAACTAATGATTCCTAATATTCAACACAACCAAATTGACCAACCCTTCAATATAGCTTTTGTCCACAAGATATGCATTGAGTGCTGACAAGCCATCTTTCTTTTTAAGATCTCCAAAACCCATTTTCTGTTAGTTTTCTATTTTGCTTCAACAACGTGTTCTCACGCCGGTAATCTCGCCCGGAAAAGGCCAAATATATATCAGAAAGCTTTGAAATACTACTACCGGATATTAACGGATATCATTTTTTACAACAGTTTATTTTTCCTTTATCTTAATGATTTCTCCGAAAATTCAAGAAGATTTATTTGTTTAAAAATATAAAAACTTAGATTCAAACTCATTTTACATATATTTCATTTGAATTGGTTGCTTACGAAGTTTGATTATTTCGTTTATTACCGCTTCCATCAAAGTGGATATTACTTCCGGTTCTGAATTGGCCAAGGTGAGAAACTACTACAAACCAAACTCCGTTCTTTTAATTTCTTAACATCATTGTTCATTTGAAATCCAAGTAAATACCTATGCTCATTTATAAAAGATAGTCATCAAACCAAATGCACTGAGAGATTGTCACTAATACGGGCAAAATGATAATGAATTATACATTTCAGTACACTACTCGAATTTCCTCTAGTATTATACATAGTTTCATAACGACTTTTAACTTAACTTACACAAATGTATCGTCGTCTGATATGTTCACATGAATTTTGCTTCAGTTTTCCTTACTTTTGAATTGGCTAATACCCTTTTGATTATGATCTTTGACTTCACAATCACATTTTTCATGTTACATAATAACATTTATGTTCAAAACAGAGCACTGGTACTTTACGTTTCTGTTTCAAAAACACTTTGAAATTACGACCCAAATGCAAATTTTAACAGCATTCGTTACCTCTATATATGTATAAATTAATGTAATACATTTTACGGTGTGAACTTTGGGGCTAGCGTAGATAGAAAATTCTTTCTTTAGATGATATTGTTCTACAGACGTGGTTTATCAGTAGAATTCTTTCCATTTGTTGTCAATGTAGCAAAGTAAAGATCTAATCTACCTGTTTACCAGGGATCAACATTAACGATTGTCCGATTGCCCGGGACAAGTAAATTCTTAGTTCGGGCAAATGAAACTGTTGACGTACTTGTCCAATGGGGCAAGTGAATTTTTCTCATAGAAATTTACATATTTATTAAGTTTACATTGATTTATAAATAAAACAATAAATTGAACAAGATTTCTACCACGTACCTGACTGCCAATGTTTTTGCTTTCGGAATTCCTTGGTAGTGTTTCTGGATTATACCGTTCATTTAAAAATTGGGTTTGTTATTGTTTTCTTTCATAGTAAATACACTCTACATCTAACAACTTTGTTAACTTCATATTAGGAAATTAGATTATTTATTCACTCACAGAATATAAGTACAGTGTAACACAATGTATCCTGATCAAGATAAGTTGTATGTTTCGTAGCAACTATCTTCCTTTAGCGTTGCTTCACATTTATCTCTGAAAATCACGATTCACAAAAGGATCCTACCGAAAATAATTTTTAAAAATATGAATTTTTTGAAAAAGAAACGATGGGTTATTGCTGCATGGCAGTGTGTGTTAACAGGTTATATTTACATGGACAGAGGTATAAATTTATGTACAAATGCAGCATCGAAATTTTTTCGGGAGCTCAACTTGCCAAATTGACAGTTGTGTATTTGTCACATTTTTTCGTGTCATAACATTTACTGTAATAAATAAATTTCTTCTAAAGTTCTTTCTTAATTTGGGGCAACCAAGTTTTGCATTCGGACAAGTTAAAGTCTGAGATCACTTGCCCGAAGGACAAATGAATCTGAAAGTTAATATCTATCCCTGTTTACTGGGAATAATCCAGAGAGCTCCAAATGTCAACACTGCTTGTAAAATTTGAAACGAGTAAAATGTTTAGAAAATGAGTTGAATTTTGTCTTTATTTGGATTATTTTTAGGGTAAAAGGCATATACAACCTCAAAAGGGTTTGTTTTGATTAATTTTGGTAGTTATTTTTCAGTGTTACTTCTTTTGTATTCTTCAAAATCATTTTGGAGCAGATCTGCTCCGATTTGCTACATTGCAAACTATATGGGATATATTCTGACTGTGGTGAGGGCTTTTCCTGAGACACAGTTAGATTACTCAAACTAGGACGAGAGCAGTTGTATTTATTATTGCTTTAAATTAAAGTTGGTTGGTAAAGCAAAAACAAACATTTTATTTTCTATTTCTTGTATCCTAAAGATATGTAATTGTGAGTAAAGCTATGTTGTGTTTATAGAGTGTTGTCTTTCTAGAGATCAAGATGATGAGGATAAGGCCCCTGGCCCGGGCTCTTACAGCTCAGAACTTGCTGAAACATCCAGGTAAGGGCTCTTACAGCTCAGAACTTGCTGAAACATCCAGGTAAGGGCTCTTACAGCTCAGAACTTGCTGAAACATCCAGGTAATGTGAACATGGATTTCAAATTGTTATCTTTCTTAAGGAGGGTAATATGCTTGTGAATTTAAAATTTCATTAAATGCAAGCTACAATAGATGTACTACTTTTACTTAACAGTTAGATGCAGTACATCTGTGGCCACTCAACCAGAGAAAATAGAAATATTTATTGATGATAAGCCTGTTTATGTCTACCCCGGCACAACCATTTTACAGGTGAGTTATTTCCCCTGACAAAAAGGTAGATTGTGTTGTAAGCTTGGTTTTCCTTGTTAGAAAGTAAATCCACTCTGCTTGAGATGTATCATGAATGCTTACTTGTTAGCAGTGTTTTCTGCGGTCCAAATTTAATGGAATTGTACATCTGTACTGAACAATTTATGGAAATTTTTAGATCTGTTCAATGTTTTTAATGTCCTTGCTGTGTTAACAGATACTGAACTGAATATTGGTTTTTTGATAATTATTTTACATTTATGATGATGGCAATTGATTGATTAGGGCATGTACATTGTATATGACTGTATTTCATGCAAGGGTGTTTATGTAAATTTAGGGATTTGGCAAAAAGCAAGGATTGCATCAGTTATAATATTTGATAAATTTTAATTGATTTGGAATACATATATTAATTGAGTGATTTTGAAAGTACATAAAAACTTTAATGTTAGGAATGATGTGAAATTCCTGCTTAAGCTTGCTTTTTGAACAGTCCTGTAGACAATGGTTGATATCTCTTTGTATTTATACTGTCGTCTTGTAGGCCTGTGCTGAGGGAGGGGTACAGATCCCCCGATACTGTTACCACGAGAGACTATCTGTCGCTGGGAACTGCCGAATGTGTCTCGTAGAGGTGGAAAAATCAGCCAAGGTACAGCGATATTGTCTTTAAAGTTTTGTTTTTTCATGAAAAGAAACAATGTTTGAATGGGCAAATGCACTTGTAAACGCATGCAAGAAAAAAATTAAGAGTGAAGAATGGAAAAATCATTCTGGAAAAAAAAAGAATTTGAATTTATATCTATTTTTAGCCTGTTGCATCATGTGCCGCACCTGTCATGAAAGGAATGAGAGTAAAAACAGACTCGGAATTGTCCAAAAAAGCTCGGCAAGTTATAAAACAGTAGTTCTACTATAGATATGGACAAGAATACTTAAGAGTTTATCATGAAATGAGTAAGAGTGAAGACAGACTCTGCATTTACGAAAAAACTCTTTAGTTTATTATATCAGCAAGAATATTTTGCCTTATAAAAGTGGATGAAAAGTTTATTACACATTACTAATACCATTTAACTAAGTGTAGTATGTGTTAGGTACATAAGATATCTTGATTTAGAAATTTGGTGCATATGTAACATAGTTTTATTATTTACCTGTGCAGGGAGGGTGTGATGGAGTTTCTGTTAGTGAACCACCCCCTGGACTGTCCCATCTGTGATCAAGGAGGAGAATGTGATTTACAGGTGAGATATTGTTAATGCCATATCCCCCCCCCCCCCAAAAAAAAACAAACAAACAAACAAACAAACAAACTTCTGTATGGGAGATACTGGGGGAACATTGGTTGGAAGTTATGCAATATGCAGATATACTTGTTCTTATACAAAAGTTTTCTAAGTACACTATTTTATACATGTACAGCTGTATTATTCAGTTGGGGCTTAAGTAAACTAGCTTTTATAAACAGAGTTTTTGTGGTGGCATTCTGTCCTTTATCTCTTATCTCTTCAATTTTTTATTTGAGTTATTCTCCTCAACCAAATGATGAACAGTCACAGATTTTTTCAAATGAAAGATCACATTGTTTTCAAAGGGAGATAATTAATAAAAAAATGAAAAATAGGGTAGAGTCATTTAAAAGTCTTCTACTCCCAAACCACTGGGCCAGAAAAGATAAAACATGTAAAGGCTCCCTATTTGAGTCTAGATTCAATGTGCAAATTATTACCACAGGGGCTAGGGTAGGGTCACAGTCTTGCTGTGACCCATGGGGCTCTTGTTTTATGCACCTATCTTCTGACTGCATACTTATTGATATAAATACCGGTATGGTATATTGCACTGTCTGTGTATACATGTATGTCTGGGTTGTTAATGTCATTCCTCAAAAAATATTTTCTTTACAGATTAATGCAGTGAAGATCAAATATTGAGATGCTTGTTATTTTTTCAGCTTTCTGTCTTTCCACCTCTTCAACATTGTTTATATAATTATAACTCCTAAACAAGATGTTGTGGAGGCTTAGGGTTTATGATAGGAATTTCACATTAAATACAATTATATTAATCCTGAGATAGAGTCATTGTAAACACTGTGTTAACTTTAATCCTTTCTTTTAATTCTTTGGCATCCCATTTCAGGATCAGTCTATGGTTTTTGGCAGTGATAGAAGTAGATTTACTGATATCAACTTTGCTGGGAAAAGGTAAGATTTTTGTCAAATGATACGTGATGTTTAAACCATTTTAGGTTCATTAATGACATGCTTAATATAGAATTCAAGTTGTACATCTGATCTAAGTAAAAATCAAGTTCAGGTTAAGACATTTTAATTACCTGTATGTAAAACAAATTCTACAGCAATTTTTATTCAATATGAAATCCCGAAAATATATACTGTGAAAATATACTGTAACAACAAACATTGTATATACTATATAGATATTAAAATGAAACTTAGATTAATATTTAGTAGATTGAAGGTTTTTTTATGTGTGTTTTTTTAGGGCAGTGGAGGATAAAAACATCGGTCCTCTGGTTAAAACAATAATGACAAGATGTATTCACTGTACCCGCTGCATCAGGTAGATATTTTCTGGCATGAATAATGTAAAAAAAAAAAATGAAAAATTCAAACAAATAAATTCTTATATTTATTCATCAGGAACAAGAAAATGGTGAAGAATTAATTTTAAAAAAATTGTGGATATTCATAAAAATTCTAAAGAACAGGTTGAGTATTGCATGTAATTAACAAATTTGTGGATATATCAGGTTCGCCAGCGAAGTGGCAGGAGTAGACGATTTAGGCACGACGGGAAGAGGAAGTGACATGCAGGTCGGAACCTATGTGGAAAAACTTTTTCGATCTGAGCTGTCGGGAAACGTCATAGATCTGTGTCCTGTAGGAGCTTTAACTTCTAAACCCTATGCCTTCACTGCTAGGCCTTGGGAAACAAGGTAATCAATGGAAATTATGTCTCTTTATATGAAGTACTCAAAATAGATAATATCATTTATAATTAACATATTTTCAACATCATAATTAGTTATTATAAATATTTACATATACTGTACTTCTTAGAAAAATAATGCAAAATTACACATGGAGACAAGATTTACTGAAGTGATTGATTTTTGTCAACTCCAAGGGCTGTCAGAAACTTGGAATTTTAAATAGAGTCTGTTGCTTTGCTAACCTACTTGACTTCCTTCATATTACTCTGTAGGAAAATAGAAAGTGTGGATGTCCTGGATGCACTGGGGAGTAACATCGTAGTCAGCACAAGGTCAGGGGAGGTCATGCGTATCCTGCCCAGAATGAATGAGGTAAAATAGCTCCCTCATCAACATACATGATTGTATACTTGTAATCTGGTACATTATTGAACAAAATGTACCTCAAATTTGAACGTTAAAAATAATAAATCTACACGAAGGTATGCGTTTTGTCTGTTTGTCTCTCAGGAAAGACAAGTTTGTTTGGTGGTTCTTTCTCTTTTTCAGACAACATATTCAACATGTACATGTGGAGAAATTATAATTTAGAGGGAAATTCCCAATATTCAGGAATTTGTAATCATTACATATATGGCCTATTGACAGGACTTTGATACACTATGATTTTCAACAGTACTGTTACCATACATTTTTTACACTGGAGTTTCTGTAACACTGTGTCGTAAACTGTTGTACATGTATATGAAAGGATTTTTTTTCACCAGCAAATACTATAATTGTTGACAGAACTCTTTCTAGATATGTGTTTACAACATGTACTGTAAATAGAGACATGACTATTGGTTTTAACTATATTATCATTTATGTTTAACTATTGACTGGTCTGATTGATAGCGTATACTGTAAATTTTAACTGTTACAGGAAATTAATGAGGAGTGGATCTCGGATAAGACAAGGTTTGCGTATGACGGCCTTAAGCGACAGAGATTGACTTTCCCCTACGTCAAAGATAACACAGGAAATCTGAAAAAGACGAGCTGGGAAGACGCACTTATTACAACCTCCTCTATGGTATAACACATTTCATGTATTTTGATTGACTATTGTATACTTTAAGTTATTACTTAAAAGGTGACTATATTGCTGATTTAGTGGGAAGGACTAGTGCATGCTGAATCACTGATTTTTACTTTTCATTTTATAAAGGAACAGATATGAAAGTGACCAGATTGCTGCTGTAGCTAGGGACTAGTGGAGACTAAATAACTGATTTTATGCTTTCATTTTTATAGATGAACAATTTTGAAGGTGACCAGATTGCTGGTTTAGCCGGGGGACTTGTGGATGCTGAATCTCTGGTTGCCCTTAAGGACCTCCTTAATAAATTGGGTAGTGAAGCCCTCTGTACTGAAGAATACTTCCCTATGGATGGGGCAGGGTATGTTCATTTAATTGAAATGTTTTACAGTACAGTGTAAGACATATTGGAATATCTGAATATATACAGTTTACATAGTTTACACAGTTTTGCGTGTATACTGTAAATCTTTAATGAAGCATTTATGAAGTTTCATTTTATTTTTTTACTGTGAAATTTTTAATATTTTTTTTTCTTATACATTATTTACCATCAAAGAAAGTGAACGGTTTCTTTCTGTACACATTAATGTTTTAGTTTGAAAATAATTTCATCATTATTATTAATTTACTTGGAACAGTCAGGATCAGTGCTTAGTTCATAATTTAAGATTTTACAGGACATTCAAGAAATTTTCAAAACATTCATTCAGGAGAAGGTACATTATATATGTAAACTATAAATAAAAATCTATATTATAATGATATTTGTAATTTTTATTCTAGGACTGATTTGCGTTCTAATTATTTGCTGAATACTGGAATAAACGGAATAGAGGAGGCAGACCTTGTGCTACAGTCCCTGAAACGTTCTACTTTCCCACTTGAACGGTGAGCGAACGCTGAACGAACGGTGAACGAACGCTGAACGAACGCAGAGCGAACGGTGAGTGAACGATGTGTGAACGCTGAACGCAACTTGGTGAACGATGTGTGAACGGTGAACGGTGAGCGAACGCAGAACGCGAACGGAGCGCAAACGCGAACGCAAAGTGAACGGTGAACGAACGGTGAACGCAAGATGAACGATATATTCGGAATGCCTCTGATCTTTTCCTTGCATTGAAACTATTTTATTGTATTATAATGTCAGGTGCCAAAAAAAAAAAAAAAATAAATAAATAAGTAAACCAATAAATGAATGAATAAATAAGTAAATAAAATAAATTCTCCAAAATTGTCCTAAGAAAGACGATTCATGCACATTAAGTTTTTAATAATACGATTTTTAACGCATTAAAACATTGCAATTGTTGCCGAACGCTGAAGTATAAAAGATATTTTTTTAGTTGGAAAATAAAAATGTTTATTCTTATTTGATAACAAATCAGAGAAAACTTCTGACTTATAGAATGAATTAAAGCGATTGTAACACCCATTCATATATCTCCGTGTCAAGGCGATTTCATGTAAAGTAATGAAAAAAAAAATAATTACAATGGTCAGTGGACGTTTTGCATTTATACGCTCGTATTTTAAATATTTAATACAATAATATATTATGTGTCATTTCTATTTTTCATAATGATTTATTGAGCAGACTTCTGCATGTATCTGTAGATGGCCGTGATTATACTCGGACAAGATAATACAAAGATACACATTATTATTATTTGTTATAAATTCAATTTTCAGAACTTGATATTTAAGTAATATGCTGTTATAATTTTTATCAAACAGACAAATGAGAGAGAGAGAGAGAGAGAGAGAGAGAGAGAGAGAGAGAGATTCCGTTTCAGCCCCCCCCCCCCCCTTCCTTTCAGGCTTCACTAAATGTTTGTACCTATATCAAACAATAACTCTGAAATTTTTTTCTAAATATATTAGACAGTGAAAGTAACTTCTTTTTTTTTTTTTATCAACAAATCATATCTATCTGTTTGACAGTATTACTCGTTTTTATTTTCCTGCTTCAAGTTCACACGAAGTCCACGTGCTTGTCCTGTCAATCAAAATCATTCGACACTGTGCAGGTGTGAAAGTTTCGTCACATCGAAGAGGAAGTGCGAGTATTCCAACAAGTTATAACATTTATTTTTATCATTTCTAGATTTGATACCAACATTTGAATAATAAATGAATAAAATATGTTGGGCATTAACACTTGAATTTGAAACATACTCTCTGCCAATTTCAAATACCACCGCCGACACGTGTACATTGTGAACTACTAATGTTTTGTGACTTTTTTAGATGCATGTTTGTTTTGAGACTGAAATTTTTGTTCTAAAAAAGACCTTAACTTTTTTTAACAGGTTAATTAAAATTTTCTGGAAATACAGTACTGACTAAGTAACCGATTTAGGGGAAAAGGGGGGGGGGGTATTAATCATATCGAATGGCAAACATATAAAGTTACGTTGAAGAAAGAATTTTTTTTCTCTATAACTATAGACTATACATACATGTATTATAGTAGCGAAAATTCTGTAGTGCATTTCATTTTAAATAAATATTTCCTTTAAACACACTATCAATTTAATTCGCTCCAAAGATAATAAATTAACGGGATATCCGCAGTACTATGTATAACTCTCAGAACTAGTTCTATCATATTTTCTGTAGTAACTGAATAAAAAAAGGCGTTAGAAATAAATATTTTCGTAATTTTGCTGCGTAATTATTTGACTTGGATAATTATATCTCCATTAACGATTTGTCGTCTTTAACAAAACAAAATGTTGCAATTCTTGAAGTATTTGCACATTGCCCTTAGTTAAATTTAATATTTCAGCATCGTTCTACATAGGTACAGAACAACATTTATTTTCCAGAGTAATTTAATAAATAACCTAATAGCTAAGTTAGAATAATAAAAATATATATCTTAGATATTTTCCCCCATGAAATAATGATTCTTCAAACACGATATGTTAGTTATTAAATTAAAAAATCTGTAACCCCTTACCTACAAAAAGATAAGTCCTTTCACTTGGGAGTTCCGAATGGCAATGAAAACTGAACGATAGGTGAACGCTGAACGCAAGGTGAACGCAAAGTGAACGGAACGAAGAGCGAACGCTGAACGCTATGTGAACGGTGAACGCGAGCGCACGGTGAACGGTGAACGCAAAACTGTGAACGGAGAGCGAACGGTGAACGCACGGTGAACGAACGGTGAACGCACGCTGAACGAACGGTGAACGAACGGTGAGCGAACGGAAAAATGGGAAAGTAGAACGTTTCAGGGACTGTATTTATAGGAACTAATCCCCGATTCGAAGCCCCAATTCTGAACACGAGGGTTAGGAAAAGGTCAGAAATATAAACAAATGTTCAAATACATGTATTATCTATGCAGTTGTGGCTATAACTAGGGCTGGGACGATATATCGAGATATCGATAATATCGATTCAATGTGAGGATGATATGCATATCGATACATATGAAGAAATATCGACATATCGCCCAAAAAATTCTGACTAATTTTTTTCTTTGTTTACTTAACATTTTGGGTTTAATATGTAAAATAAATATGCTTAATATAAATCTAAATATGAAATACATAATAATTAAGACCACTTGTGCAAAATAATTAAGTTTTACAACAGATATACAACTTCTTTGAATAAATTATTCTTATATGTGAAGAAATGTTTTGTTCACTTCAATATAAAAAAAGGATTTATAACCAATTAAACATATCGTGATACATATCGTATCGTGGCTCAAATATCGGGATACGTATCGATATAGAAAAAGTTGTATCGTCCCATCCCTAGTTAACTTATAAGAGGATTTGTTTGTAGACAGATGATACATGTGCATGAATATTTCCTCTCATTTACTAGGATTACTGTAGATTCCTAATTTTAGGCAAGTGCTTAATGTCATTAAATGACTCGTAGATGTCAAACTGTGAGAATTTGAAATTGAGAGAGGACTGTTGACAAGATCATTTACATGTATTTCAGCCGTATAAAAAATAAAAGTGAGTAATTTTATTTTGCGAGAAGTGCTTGTCGCGAAATTACGCTTTTATAAATTCCTTGTGTGTATTTAGGAATCTACAGTATTTGTGTTTACAGAAGTTGTTGTGTATCAATACTCTCTTCTTGTATGTTATGATTTTTGACTTAGATTATATACTTCTGACCTTTGCTGCTGCTTTTTTTCTTTCACAATATTTTACCATCAGAGGAAATCAAAGCTTTGACCTGTGCTTATGCAAACATGTATAATAATTTAATATAAGAGTTACATGAAAAGAACAGAAACACTGTTTAAAGATTTCATTTTTACCTTAAGTTTATATAATAACATTTTAATATTTTTTTTAGCTGGATTCATAATGACCTTCAGGTTGCCCTCGTAGGGTCAAAGGTTGACCTTACCTATGATTATGATGTGAGTATTTTTTTTTTAAAGGACAGATTCTATAAAATTAATTATGTCTGATTAAGTTTTCATCTGAGTTCTAATTGTTATATAAAATGATGCTGTGTTTATGCTTAATCAGGGGATAATCAATTTTTGATGGAATCCTTTGTGCAATAATTTATAAACACACGTCAGGCAAAATATTTCATAACTCAAGATATAATCCATTGAAATACGTAAAAGTGCTGATTCATGATAACATGAAATAGTCCTTAATTTATGTTTTTGCTATAAATTTGAAATGCACTAAAATGTATGTACTAAGTACATTTTCAGTACATTGTATGTGAATCTCTTTAATAAATTTTTATTGTAATACTGAAATATTTTTTACAGTACCTTGGTGATTCCACAGATGTTCTGAAGAAGATTGCTGATGGCTCCCATCCTTTCTGTAAGGTAGGGATATCCTAGATGTGACATTGAACCAAGGCTATGTTGCAAAAGCACCCAGTGTCATTCTTTACTATGGCTCAATATATATGAATCTATTTTTACAGTATTTTTTATGGAGGTAGGATTCAAAAGTACAGTGTAAGTGAAGAAACACAGTTGAAAATACGATATGACTAAAATGAGCTAACATATGGTTAAAGTGTTGTCACATTTTATTGTTTCAGAGCATTGTATCTTAGAGAGGAAGGCTTTGTCTTTTACCAATATAATATTTTTTAAAATATTAAAAAAAAAGTTACTGCCATGAATAAAGGGGTAAATCTTGCCATGTTTAAATTATTGTGTATAAGACACATTTGATTTAATGCAAGAAAATTGACATAGAAATATCAGCATTTAATTGTTTCACAGTTTCAGTTATAAAGAATTCAAAACAATTTTTTTTCGCCCCACAAAAATGTACATTTAACACTCCAAATTTCTCTTTACAGACACTGAACAAAGCAAAGAGACCTATGGTGATTGTGGGAAGTTCCACTCTACAGAGGAAAGATGGGGCAGCCCTACATGCAGCAGTCTCCACCATAGCTCAGACTGCGCGGGTCCAATCAGGATGTGGTGCCGACTGGAGGGTCCTCAACATCCTACACAGGGTAAGTAGCTCAAACAGTGCGGGTCCAGTCAGGATGTGGTGCCGACTGGAGGGTCCTCAACATCCTCCACAGGGTAAGTAGCTTGATCAGCGCGGGTCCTGTCAGGATGTTTGATGCATCAAAGAACACCACCAGACTTGCTTCAAATGCTGAATCTTTTTTTTCCTGTACATTTTCTAGTTTCTTGAACAGAATAATTTTTTTGAGCATATCCATTCCCAATTAAGTAGAAATTATACCCAGACCAAACTTTCATAAGTGTTGCATTTAGTGACCTTCAGAAAATTCATTTTGTCAGAGAATTTGCCTTATATGTAGATACAGTAAAACACGCTTATAAAGAAATGCCAGGGATGGATGATTTTGCTTTGTTATAAGAGTATTTGATTATATCTGTAAGGTTCACAATATACTTTTAAAGTCACGGGTAATGAAAATCACTTCGCTGTAAGCGTCGGTTTATTATACATGTATGTGTCTTTGCTAAAGCGTGTTTTACTGTAACAATCGTTGAGGTGGTCTGTAATCTTTGATTACCTATGTTTAAGGTGGCTAGTCAGGTTGCGGCTCTAGACCTGGGTTATAAGGCGGGTGTAGACTACATCAGGAAGAACCCTCCCAAAGTTCTGTTCCTCCTCGGGGCTGACGAGGGAGTCATCACTAGAGCGGACCTCCCCAAAGATTGCTTCATCATCTACCAAGGTAAGATTAGGAAGGTGAAACATAAAGAATCCCCAGAGACAGCTGAAATTGCTTTGTTATTGCTAAATCCCGTTAATTCTTTATTATTTCTAGTATTGGGTGAAAAAATGTTAGTTCATTGTAAGCAAGGACATGTAGTATCAAAGTTTGTTATGAACATGTATTACTGTACAACAGTGGTTATAAAGGGCCAGTTATAGTTGATTTGAGAGTGTGAATGTGGATGAGTGAGTGTGTAATGGAAGTAATAATTTATATCGGGATCAATGTTCTCCTGAGAGAGGAAGCTTGACTTTGTGGTGCCCTTAAATGTTAAAAGTTACATTGTAAATGAGATCCTAATTGACTTCTCTCAGATATATAACGTATCAAAAATTGGCATCCTTGGTTATTTAACTAACAGTATCTTATCTTTTTCACATAAAATGTTTAATTCTTGTTTACTAACAGGTCACCATGGAGACAAAGGAGCAGCCATGGCTGATGTTGTTTTACCAGGAGCAGCGTACACTGAGAAGGATGCAACATACATTAACACAGAGGGTCGGCCCCAGCAAACCAGGCTAGCAGTGTCTCCCCCAGGCATGGCTCGAGAAGATTGGAAAATTATCCGTGCTTTATCTGAGGTTAATAAGAGCTCAGAATATAATTAATAGAGTAACTCATGAATAATAAGATTTAACTTTCTTTAAAGAAGAAATCTTAAAAAAAAAGAATCTTAAAAACTTTGAAAAAGTGGTTTTATTTGTTTTCTGTCAGAGATAAGGATCATTTTAGCTCATAACCTGAATGGTATTAACATTTTATCCTTATCTTGCTACTAGACATCTAAGGTCTGGTATCCCCTGCCTACTAAAATGAATTTTTTTTCTAATTTCCTCATGCTGCAGGGATCGAAATTAACTTTTTTTTATCCACAGGTTATTTTTAGCCTGTACATATAAAATCCACAGGCTAAAATGAAGATCTATAAGCTAAAATTGAAAGAATGATTAACTGCCTTTTTCATCTTTATTTTAATCAATAACAATACAGGGCCTACTAGTATAGTGGGTCAGTACAGAATTGTGATCTGGTCATGTATCAGCAATGTTTTTATGTTTTAAAAAATGGTAATCTGGCCTAAAAAAATTATGTTTGTTTCCTGTAACATTCCCAAAAAATCGAGGGTTGGTAGGTTTGAATTTTTTTTTGTGCCAATGAATAATGGGGTCAAACATTCCGGACTGAATGAATTGGGTGTGATATTTACAGCGGACACCCAACATGGCTTTCTAGCGGCAGAAAACACACTTCAAAAAGTTGTTGGAGAAAAGCTTGATGTTATAATTATGATTACTCTTTATATTTAAGGTAAATGTTGACTAGGTTGACATATTTTATATCTCAAATAAAGCTACAATTACAGACAAAATTGTATAAATTGAATCAGCTGATTGAGATTGGGCAAAAAAAAAAAAAAATCCACCCGGGGTTACCGTAATTTGAATGGGTCGGGTTACAGGAAACAAACTTGATTTTTTTAGGCCTCATCTTGTTTCTGATTTTCTAAATGAATATAATAGAAAAAGGGAGATAAAAATGGCTGCTTTAATCAGTGGTAAAGTTTCAAAATGCGAAAGACAAATTGCAGGAAAAATATGGATTCGAGACAAAAGAGATCGAAAATCACCACTCGCTAAAAATTTCGAATGTTTGCTATTTTTACTCGCTTTTTAGCTCACCTGAGCCGAAGGCTCAAGTGAGCTTTTCTGATCACATTTTGTCTGTAGTCCGTCTGTCCATCTGTCTGTCTGTCTGTCCGTCTGTAAACTTTTCACATTTTCGACTTCTTCTCCAGAACCACTGGGCTAATTTCAACCAAACTTGCCACAAAGTATCCTTGGGTAAAGGGGATTCAAGTTTGTTCAAATGAAGGGCCACGCCTTCTTCCAAGGGGAGATAATAAAGAATTCATGAAAAATTAATGTCATCATTAAAAAATCTTCCTCTCAAGAACCACTGTGCTTGAAAATATGAAACTTATGTGGAAGCATCCTCAGGTAATGTAGATTCAAGTTTGTTCAAATCATGACCCCCAGGGGTCGGGTGGGGCCACAATGGGCGATCAAAGTTTTACATAGGAAATATATAGGAAAAATCTTTAAAAATCTTCTTCTCAAGAACAGCAAAGCCATGATTGGTCATATTTATCTGGTAGCATCCTCAGATAGTGTAGATTCAAGTTTGTTCAAATCATGACCCCCGGGGGTCGGACGGGGCCACAATGGGCGATCAAAGTTTTACATAGGAATATATAGGAAAAATCTTTTAAAATCTTCTTCTCAAGAACAGCAAAGCCATAATTGGTCATATTTACAAGGTAGCATCCTCAGATAGTGTAGATTCAATTTTGTTCAAATCATGACCCCCGGGGGTCGGGGTGGGGCCACAATGGGCGATTAAAGTTTTACATTGGAATATATAGGAAAAATCTTTAAAAATCTTCTTCTCAAGAACAGCAAAGTCATTTCTGGTCATATTTACATGGAAGCATCCTCAGATAGTGTAGATTCAATTTTGTTCAAATCATGACCCCCGGGGGTCGGGTGGGGCCACAATGGGCGATCAAAGTTTTACATAGGAATATATAGGAAAAATCTTAAAAAATCTTCTTCTCAAGATCAGCAAAGCCATAATTGGTCATATTTAAATGGTAGCATCCTCAGGTAGTGTAGATTCAAGTTTGTTCAAATCATGACCCCCGGGGTAGGGTGGGAACACAATGGGCGATCAAAGTTTTATGTAGGAATATATAGGAAATATCTTTAAAAATCTTCTTCTCAAGAACAGCAAAGCCATGATTGGTCATATTTACATGGAAGCATCCTCAGATAGTATAGATTCAATTTTGTTCAAATCATGACCCCTAGGGGTCGGGTGGGGCCACAATGGGTGATCAAAGTTTGACATAGGAATACATAGGTTAAATCTTTAATTATCTTCCACTCAAGAACAGCAAAGCCATGATTGGTCATATTTAAATGGAAGCATCCTCAGATAACGTAGATTCAAATTTGTTCAATTCATGACCCCCCCCCCCCCCCCCCCCCGAACCACTTTTATATTTAAACTTTTCAAGACTGAAGTGATTTCTGCTTTCTCCTAGCCATAGTGCTCAGGTGAGCGATGTGGCCCCTGGGCCTCTTGTTTAAAAATCAACTTGCATTTTGCAAATATTTCCGGCTAATTTCAATCCCTGTGCTGAAATGGTAATGGAAAGAAAATTCAACCAAATTTAGTTTTCCATATGGGAAAAAATTGAAAAGAAATCATTGTTGAAGATGACATATAATAATTTATCAAATTCAAAGTTCTTCCTCTTAAGAAGACAGTCATTCCACCTTATAAATCAGCCATAAATGACATACAAGTAATTTTCTAAGGGTAGTCATAAAGTGCATGAACAGTACAGTAAAACAGGAATGAACACCCTTATAATGAAATTACTGTAGAATTTAAAAAGCAATTTCAATAGTCTATAGAATTCTGTATGGTTACCAGGTAATCTTAATATGATGTTTACAGCTATAGAAAAGATCCTCATGACATTGAATACGTTTGTCTGTGTTCTGTTAGATCCTGGATCAGCAGCTTCCTTACGACACCCTGACGGAGATTCGCAGTCGACTAGAGGATGTTGCACCGAATCTCGCACGCTACGATAAAGCAGAAGAGGCAAATTACTTCAAACAGGCCAATGATCTCGCTAAGGTAATTAATATTTATGTAACTACACATAGGGTCAGTGTTAAAGCAAAAAATCTGTCCCTCCTCTGATAGACAAACTACAAGGCTCCTGACCAGCCAATGTCAGTGTCCTATTGCCTCACAATAAAAGGTTGGTTACAGAATTTCAAGAAATAAACAAAAAAGTTATTATAAAGGAATTCCTTCGTAGTTTTTGAAGTCTATTGAAATGAGATAAATGAGATAAAATAGGTAAAATTGAAGCCCGTATATATACATGTATATTATCTTGTATAAATTTAATTTCTAGAACAATAAACCATGATCTAACTGCCTTCTGAAGAAAATAATTAGTGTTTTCATCATTAAATTAAACAAAATAAAATATTAATAAAACTTTTTGAATTCTGTCCATTTGTTCAATCATTTTTAGCTCACCTGAGCTGAAAGCTCAAGTGAGCTTTTCTGATCACCCGTTGTCTGTCGTCCGTCCGTCCGTCTGTAAACTTTTCACATTTTCAACTTCTTCTCAAGAACCACTAGGCCAATTTTAACCAAACTTGGTACAAAGTATCCTTGGGTGAAGGGGAGTTTAAATTGTTAAAATAAAGGGCCAAGTCCCCTTACAAGGGGAGATAATCAAGAAAAGACAAAAATAGGGTGGGGTCATTAAAAAATCTTCTTCTCAAGAACCACTGGGCCAGAAAAGCTGAAACTTATGTGGAAGCATCCTGGGGTAGTGTAGATTATAAATTGTTCAAAACATGACCCCCGGGGGTAGGGTGGGGCCACAATAGGGAATCCAAGTTTTACATTGAAATATATAAGAAAAATCTTTAAAAATCTTCTTTTCAAGAACCACTGGGCCAGAAAAGCTGAAACTTATATGGAAGCATCCTGGGGTAGTGTAGAATCTAAATTGTTCAAATCATGACCCCAGTGGGTAGGGCGGGGCCACAATAGGGAATCCGTTTTACATTGAAATATATAGGAAAAATCTTTAAAAATCTTCTTCTAAAGAACCACTGGGCCAGAAATACTGAAACTTATGTGGAAGCATCCTGGGGTAGTGTAGATTCTAAATTGTTCAAATCATGACCCCCGGGGGTAGGGCGGGGCCACAATAGGGAATCCAAGTTTTACATTGAAATATATAAGAAAAATCTTTTTAAAAATTCTTCTCAAGAACCACTGGGCCAGAAAAGCTGAAACTTATATGGAAGCATCCTGGGGTAGTGTAGATTATAAATTGTTCAAATCATGACCCCCGGGGATAGGGCGGGACACAATAGGGAATCCAAGTATTACATTGAAATATATAAGAAAAATCTTTAAAAATCTTCTTTTCAAGAACCACTGGACCAATAAAGCTGAAACTTAATTGGAATCATCCTGAGGTAGTGTAGATTCTAAATTGCTCAAATCATGACCCCTGGGGGTAGAGCGGGGCCACAATAGGTATATTAAAAGGGGGGAAATCTGGTAAAGAACAACATGGCCAAAGTTACTCAGGTGAGCGATGTGGCCCATGGGCCTCTTGTTGTTATTCCACTGTGTGGAATAGGCTTGATAATTCATTTGGTACTTTTTTTGTCATCGACACTTTTTAGTATAAAGTTTGATTTTAATCATTAACAATTATTTTTCAAACACAGATGGTGAAAGGTCAGTTGGAAACACAACCCCTGTCCCCTCCCTTACAGAAGCTAGAGGACTTCTACATGACCGACTCCATCAGCCGCGCTTCACAGACCATGGCAAAGTGTGTACAGGCCGTGAAAGAGGCCGAGAAAAATCCCTACATGTAGACAGGGGAATACATGATACTGAAACAGGGGCGGGGCAGGGCAGTGACTGTGTTTAACAGTGGAATTGACACTGAATCTGCTTTGTTGTTTTGCGTTACTCATCTTTGTTAATAAAATATTTAAAAGAGTGGAGCAGGGAGTGATTTATACAAAAGATTTATTTCTTATGGCACAGAAAGATATATCTGAGTACTTTGTTAGAAATGAGAAAATATTTTGATAAGATAAATTATGCTTGCTTTATTATCTTGTATCTATTAAGTATGAATGAATGACAGTAACTTATACTGTATTAAAGATTCCCAAAATGTACAATCTTTTCTTACAATATGCTTAATATGGGATCCGAGATATGCCCACATATTTCACTATCACACCATTGCTCCATCGAACTTTATGTTGATGACACATTGTTGATGCCTATGATGGAGCAAAGATAGCATGATGATATGATACTGCATGTACAATAAGGTGATAAAACAACACTGAAGCGATGATCTTTTGTGCCACTTCATTAATGTCATTGCACTTTTTTGTCTTGGCACCATCAACTTTAGGTCAATGGTTTGATAGTGAAGTATACTAAGCTATCTGGGTTCTATACATGTAAGCTGGTACATACTCTGGAACTGTTTGTATGGAATCCCAATAAGGCCTATAGAAAAGGTGGTGACTTGATCAATCCAACATATTTCTGTTGCAATGTTCAGTAACAATCTAATAGCTTATTTATGGTTAAAATTATGGTAAAGTTTTTATCCCCTGCTTGAGACATTAAAGGGGCATAGACACAGATTTGAAGATAATATTTTCTCAAATTTTCTGTATTATATCATGACTTATATGTTGCTATACCATTCCTCATGGAAATATAATAAAAAAAAACTTTTCTCTTGCAATTATTGAAACTAATTATTGGGACGCATTTAATTGACGTTTAATTGACACATCCTTGCAATTTCACAAAGTAAACTTTATCCGTAATACTTAAGAAAAGTAGAAATAATGACAAAGATACAATCCAGAAAATTCAGAGTAGAAATGTGAGAAAGCAAAACCAACTCACCAGTATTGTATGTCTGTGCTCAGTGATGTGTGCAGAATTTAACAAATTGAATACACCCGGTGGAACGCAAACTGTTTTGTAAATTTTTGAAAATTCACATGTAAATATGCCACACGTTAAGTCCTCTTGAAAGAAAATGTATTATTGATTCAATTTTTACAAAAAATCAACAGAACAATTGAAATGGAACCCAGATTAAAATGTGTCAAAATGAGGGAATATGAACCGACGGCTTCAGATATTTTTGCGATTTTAAATAAATCAAATGCAAAAAATGTAAAGATTTAGTAGATGGCGTCACTATATTTGACCTTCGGCCTCTTAATATGACCTTGACCTTTATTGTACAAAAAGAATAAAGACTCCTTATGAAATATGTCCGAATATCAGGTCTCTAGTATACATGGATAAAAAGTTACGTTGCATTTACAGACGGTCATATGGCATGTAATGTAGATGGCAAAAGCACGATCCAAAATGTAGGCTCCCGAATGATCAATATATACATGTAGGATGTCTCTTAATTTTCTTCAAATGAAAACATGTCACAGCTTATTATTTTTTTTTTCCTCAAAGATCCTTGATAATTGACAATATAGTGAAATTATTCTTTTTTTCTGGTGTACTTTATAAGATATGCATTGAAACAGATTTCATGGGTGGTATATACTACCTTAAATAAATAATTAAAGTGTGAGTGAGTTTGTATGAGTATATCATTTTCATTTTTGGTCACCTTCCTTTATTTCCATTCTTCATTTGTCATAATAAAATCATAGGCGCTTGGGTCAAGGATAATATATATTTTCTTTATAATGTATTGTCGGGGAAATTCGAACTATATTCGTAAATTTTTTAAGCGCACAGTGGTTATTTTTAGTTATTTTTTTTTTTGTTTTATTTTGTTTTGTTTTGTTTTTTGTAAATCTTTCTGCTTGATATACACTAGACTGTCAGAGAAATTTGATATTATGCACGTTTTAAGAATGACATATCCCAACTCTATTATACCATGTATACTAAAAAAGAAATTTTTTTAGTATAGAGTTGGAAAAAACCCCTCCAAATTGTGCTTTTTAAGATTTTGTTTGTTTAGATCTAGTAAACATCAAGAACATGTTTTATAAAAGTATTATATCCAACAAAATGCAAATTAATTTGATAAATAACACGGCAGGCGTATAATTTTTTTTCGGCAGACGTGTTTTTCTTCAGTATGTGTCTGCATGCATTTTTTATGAGGTATTTATAGTCCCAGTTATTGGGATTTAACCGAACTGAAAAAATCCCGGTTACCGGCCTAAAGTGCAGATTGGGCATGCGCAAAAAACAGGATTTTTAAGCTAATTTAATTTTAGTGAATGATAAAATCAGATTGCATTTGGTGCGGTGCCATTTCCCAGTTACCGGGAGGTATCGAGATCGGTTAAATCCCATTAACTGAGAAAGTATATACCTCAAAATTTATAATTTTAGTATTACCCGCCAAATCAAACTTAAAATGGATCGGGATCGGTATGCTTGACATTTTAGCTTGGAGACTCCACGTGTGGTAAATATTCAAATTTTCGTTCCTCTGATTTAAACCATTATCTATCTAGCTACTATGGTTAGTATTTGTTTTTATCAATGTACATGTACATGTATTATGGAAAAATGTTGTACATATGATAATTAACGTTCACTATATCTGTGCATTTTACTGAAAGGGCATTGATTTCATCATGAATTTGTAGCGAGCGCAGCGAGCTGTAAATTAGCGTCGCTCGCATTGCCAGGTCTTAAAGCAACGCCCGGGCGAAGAGAAACTTCGGACTGTGCACATTGGGATCCAAATGATTTTTTCCGCCGTAATATCTGGACCCACAATCCTTTGCGAAATGCGCGGTAACAACAAAAATTCTCCAAAATTAAATAGTTGAATCCACACTTTTCAAAAGTTATGTCCCTTGGTAGCCATCTTTGGGGAAAAAACCATAGAATCTTCACAGTAGCCTTTAAAGTTTTTTGGTTTGTAAGTTTGTCATTTGACTAGAAAAATTACAGTGGCTCTTGTATAATGATTGCCCCAATATGGGGCTATCCATATATCGAACGAAAAAAATTTAAACACAGTGGATTTATCGGAGCACGCCCAAATGTTTGATAGCATAAAGAGGAGAAATGTCATCGCTTTCCCTTTTGACCTTTTGGTTGACCCCGCAAAGGGACATAACTATTGCAAACTCTTCTGATCACCTTCATTCAAGTAAAAAAAAAAAAACAAACAAACAAAAAAAAAAAACAACGTTTTTTGCATTTTTCAGACTTCGTCATGGAAATGCAACTAACATACGACGTCCTGTGACTTCACAGTCTGGACATCAGTGTCTCGTGCGGTTTGAGTCAAAAGTTAGGCATATGCACAACTGCGCGCGCGCGCTCGCCCCAACGGTCGCACCTCAACATAATTTATCAATAAAAAATGACATTAATTTAATCATCTCTGTCCCAACAAATTGTTGTTAAATTATTGAGAGGGCATCGAGAATTTGATTGACTTAGATTTCTGCAATATTATTACAAGGTAGGTACATTCTAATCTAATATTTAATATATTAAGGCATATGTGGCATGTTTCTGCTAGGTATAATGGAAACTACCCAACCAAATATATGCAGTAGGCCTATCCTAGATAGAATGTTTTATCGTTAAAATGATTAAAATGATAAATGTCCTACGGACCCGTGTGGTGAGGGCCTGTCTCGAGACACAGTTAGATTATTCTAACTAGGCCTATTTGACTCTTGAAATCAATTCTATGTTTAACGTTACTTAAAAACTTCAAAACCTAAAGGGGGGATTAAACAAAAGTTTTTTACTTTAATAAGAATTGAATTACTTGAATAAGTACTTACTCACATGAGTCAAACCACTGTAAATATTAATCATCATTCTTAGTAAATCTGTCAGTTTAAATGATAACTCATACCTCATTCAGGGCCCAAATATTGTCTATTCTCATGGAATGCTAAAAGTAAAAGCAAACTAGAATAAAATCTTTTAAAATTACCAATTTGCATTTTTTTTTCAAAATGCCAATTTCTCCAAAACCTATGAGGGCGGGTGACTTAAACATAGAATTAACTTTGGACAACCTCATTATTTTGTAATTAATTTTATTAAGACCCCTGGCTTCCATTTGTTGTCTTTCAATAGGCATGACCACTCTTTTGGCATTTGTGTTTATCAAGCACATTTTGTTTATATACGTGTAACTATCAGAACAGGCTCCAAGACCATAAACTGAGAACAGACTTAAGTCAAAATTTCAAATCAATATAATTTTTAGCTCTACTGGTCAGAGACCAGAAGGGCTTATGGGATAGTAAGGTGTCCGTCGTCCGTCTGTCTGTCTGTAAACAATTTTTAAAAATGCTACTCATCCTACAGTTTTGGTCTGATTTCAATATAACTTGGCACACAAGTAGACTACACTAAGATACCTAATTTAGTGCATCGGTTTTTGATTTCAATGAACGATGTTGCCATGGTTACTAAAATTAGAAATTTCTGTGAAATTACTTTTAAATGCTACTCCTGCTACAGTTTTAGTCTGCTTTTAATATAATTTGGCATACAGGAAGACTATACTAAGATACATAATGTTATGCATCAGTTTTTGATTTTGATGAACAGTGTTCCCATGGTTACTAAAAATAGAAATTTCAATGAAATTCCTTTAAAACATTACTCCTCTACAGTTATGGTTTGATTTCAATCTAATTTGGCACACAATTAGAATACACTACGATACATAATATGTATTTCGGTTTTTGATGTCAGTGAATGGTGTTGTCATGGTTAATTACTGAAAATAGAAATTTCCGTGAAATACTTTCAAAACACTAATCCTCTTATAGTTTTCGTTTGATTTCAATATAACGTGGCACAGAAATAGACTACATTAAGATACATAATTCTATTTATTGTTGCATGTTGCAAAGTTTCAAATCCAAGTGCTACTTTTCCTCTGTTATACGTACAGACCAGTAGAGCTACAGTCTCATCAGAGACTTCTGGTTAA